AGGCTGCAAGCTTTAACTGTAAGAGAGGTTAATGGATGGGGGGAAATGAACTACATGAGATCCCTCCCTCGGAGAATTTATTATTTGAGAACCAGGTTCGCATGGGAAGGAATAATTCTTGCCAAACAAGTTCAAGGTTGCTGCTTGCATAAAAACAAGCCATAGACGATGTAGTACTGAACGTCCAATTCCCAGGATCGTGCTCAAGGTTGCTGATAGCGGATCGCGGCGCGTCGCGGCGAGGTACCGCTAAGGTTATATCGGGCTATTGCGGCGAAATCGCGGCAAATAGCGCACAGTCAAATAGCGGTCAAATTTAAATATATTTAAATATCCTAAATAATAAGAAAATTCATAAAAAATCTAAAAATTCAATTAGTTGTAAATTTCTTGTATTATCAATAAATAACAATTAATAAGCTTGTTGTATGAATGAAACTATGAAGAAATTCAAGAAATATAGCATCATAATATGTGTGATAGCGGGTTTAGCCGCTTTTAACAACAAAAATCCGCTTTTAACCGCGAAAATCCGCTTTTAACCGTGAAAACCCGCTTTTAACCCGCTAAAATCCGCTTTTACGCGCTATTCGAATGAATAGAGGATTTTCCCGCTTAAGCCAGCCGCGAAACCCCTACGCGTAGCGCTGAAGGGCTGCGACCGCTATTCGCGCCGCTATAGCCCCGCTATTGGCCGCTATTTACAACACTGATCGTGCTTGACCAGGAGCAGCTCTGACTTCATGCATGATACATAAGAAACGACTATTACTTTTGGTCCTATTTCACATTGCTTTGTGCAGGAGATATTGGTTTGTGCAGGAGATACAGTTGTTGGCTATTTGCTTGTAAACTCTTCATTTCTTGCTAAGTAGGTTGGTCATTTGCTTTTATTTTATTTTTCTAACTATTACTTTATGGTTGGGTTTGGACGGTATTGTACTTGTATGATGTTGCTCAGCTTCTCAATCCTGAGTCATTTTATGTCTGGATGATTAATCAGATATTATTTGATTTTCTTTTTTTTATCGTTTTCATTGCTTCTTCATATATATTTAATATCTAAAGATTCTATTTTTGATTTAGAAGGTTGGGCATTTGGTTGGTCTGTGTTCAAGCATTTGACAGAAGCTTGTACAAGGTGTCTAGAATCTGGATATTCAACTAGCAGTCACAGACTCGTAAGAAAATGTTCGAGCTAAACCCTAAAAAAATATGTGTAGTTTTTGTTCCACGGGTCGCTTATATAACACCTTGTTAAAATTGGAGTTCAGACATTTAAGACACAGCGACTATCCTCTATGACACCTGATATTTACCATATGACCTTTGGGCAAAGATAGACTCATAGACGCCTTCCGTAGAGTTAATGTGGTATCTGAACAAACTTTTCACATACATAAAGATTATCACTCAAAGGGAAATGGGGGAATCAAAATTATCACATTCCAACTATAATCCAAGGGATCTTTATGGCAATCATTGAAGCAAACCAAAATGTATCATCTAGATCCTAAATCTAAGATCCTCGTAATCTTGTCAAGGTTCCAAACAGGATTTGGTTTACGTCGCTCCTTCGCTTTAGCTTTTAAAGTTTTGAATTCGATACAATCTTCCATCAGCATTTAGATGAACCCATAATTTAGCAACATAACAAATATTACGGATAATCTATACATAATATAAAATTTGATGTAGATAAGGTTAATCATACCAAGTACCTAATTCCATAAAAACACATAAATCTTCTTTTTTTTGTAGGGCAAGGGGACTTCCCAACGATCCTTCGAACCACAGGTACCAAACCCCCAGTCGTGGCTAATGGGCACCCCCCTCCCAAATGCACGGTCATGGGTATTCCAGGAAATTAGTTTCCTTTCAGTGCGCTCCCGAAGAGAGTCGAACCCGAGACCATGGTGTACTCCTCATAGGTAGATTACCAACTCGGCTAGACTCTCTAGAGTACACGAATCTTTAGTACATTAATAAAAATGAGTTAAGAAATATTTCTTTGAAAGAAATCTGTTATGTTATTTTAAAACAAATTTGCACGGGAAAAAGCGAGATAAAATACTCTGATAAAAGGAACAAATTCAAAGCTCATTAATGTAAAAGCTTATCTTTTTTTTTTCAAGTTTGATATTCGCTGGCATTGGCTAGTATCAGATTATAACAGCAGCATCAACTGCATGCTGTGTGCATAGAATGCAAAATAAAGTATACCTGTCTTGTGACCTCAAATGCTACTATATATCAGTTTTAACTAGAGTCTCCCCTTCTGAAGATTATGAAAAATGGACAAACCACATCTTCCCACATGCATGGTAAGCACGAGGGAATTTACTTACATGACAAATGAAGAATAAGGTCTACTGCAATCAGCTTGTATCATTCAAACCAAAACTAAAAAACTGCAGAAGTTACGATAAAAAAAAATTGTAAAGGCTATTGTTCGGGTAGAGGTTTATGTAGTGAGATCTCAACTAAGAAAATTTATATGCTGTTCATGAAAAAAAATAAAATCGTTGCTCAAGATGCAACATAAAGGTCATTTGGATTTTGGATCTTAACATAAATACTAAGAACACCAATATCCTTGCCTAAAAGATGTAGGCTTACATAAAAAAAAGGCCATTACAGTCATATGAATATTTAGACAAACTCTTAATTTTTCTCTGGATCATTATGACCATTTCTCTTACACATCATAAATAATCATTCTGCAACAGTACAACTGATGCAGGAGTCAGCAATAGTTACGAAATACATGAAACCATGTAACAAACAGAATAACCCTGTTTGTTATAGTACAGCTAGTAAGAATCATTTGAAACATAAAAACATTTGATGATATACGGGCTTCAAATTTTATAATAATTGGTGCAACTTTTTTCTTCCAGAACGTAACAAAAGGATGAGATTGCAAATATCAAGATTGACGAGATAATGGGGTCAGTTCAGAGAAATGGTAACCCACCATCCTATGTATGCCTCCTACATACAATGCATTTGTACATGTTTTGTGAAGAATCTTGATCTGTATCAAGTGTTATCTACTTGTCTCTGTATATATTGACACTTTTGAATTACAAAACCCACTGAACTTTGTTTTTCCCACAACATTCTCAAAAGTTCTCCCACAAAATCCCCAAAACTCCAAAGCATCACAAATAGCTCCCTCCCTCCCAAAACTTTTTAATTTC